GGGGGTGGGGGTGGGGGTGGGGGTTCTTTTTGGGAAACTTACACAAATGTCTCAAATAAATCTCAACTTACCAACCTCTAGCCATTAGTCATAGACTTACCAAAACTAGCCAACAAAAATTGAAAAACCAAATAATAGGGTTCTTTCTCTCAAAGAATCACATGCAAAAATCACCTACCATATTTTTAAGCGTGATTAGCAAGATTAGATACAAGACGGAAAGGAAATTTCATGGACGGGGTAGCAAATAAGGTGATGAAATACAAAAATCTATACAATATTCCAAAAATCTAAACAAAAAAGGAACTTTTTCAATGGGTATAGTTGAAATTCATTGAAAATATATAGATAAGTCAATATACAAAATTTGAGGAAGATTGGAGGTGATTTAGACTGGTTTTGTATCAAAATTTGTAATTAAATCGAGTTCAAAAAAGTCTTCTGCGACACATGTATCACGCATGTATCACACACACAGGTATACATGGATATACATGTGATACACAAATGATACACAGTGTGATACACATATCATTTTTTTTCATGTTCAGCTTTTACTTCGAATTTTCAATTCAAACCACCTCAAAACTTCACCAAATCATCCCAAAACTGAGATTCAAGCTCCTTAAATTGTGCCCAACCTATTCTAATAACACCCACTCAAAACAAAGCAAAAATTTGATATTTTTTGCTACAAATAGCTAATTGGCTAATTTGGCTAATATTAGTAATATTTTATCAATTGGACAATTTTTGTAATGAGCTACTTATAAATGGACATAGCTGGTAATTTCCCTTTCTTTTTTTTAGTGCCTTTCTAGATTTTTCCATAGCTCTGGGCCTTAATTACTGGTTATTGTTATTGTATGTCATCTATTTTCTGGTTTTTATGATGTTATTACCATTTCTATGGTTTTGTTGGCGGTACGGAAATATTATCTCTTCTCGTTTCTTTTCGTCTTCCTGCGCCGAGGGTCTATCGGAAACAGCCTCTCTGCCCCATCGGGGTAAGGATAAGATTTGCATACACACTACCCTCCCAGACTCCACTTGTGAGATTTTACTGGGTCGTTGTTGTTTCTAGATAAAAGGAATATACTATTTAAGTTTAATTGCTCCATTTGCCAACTTTTTTTATCCAATTGTACTTAAATTCTTGTACATAATTTTAGAAATTTCCATGTACTTATAGCATTTGATTTTTAAATTTCCATTCGCAGCTTCATGTCACAAATGTTTAACTAATTTGGATTGGAATTTATAAAGGAACTTTTCTCTCCCCCTTTGCTTAATTTGACAAAAAGAAATATGAAGGGAAGTGGTCAAAAGGGAAATGATTTCTTCCTACGTTCACTAAATGTTTCTTTCCATTTTCATCTCCTATTTTCTCTTTGTATTTCTTCTTTTCTATCTCATTCTCTTTGTTCTTTTCCTCTTTTTTCCCTTTCCCAAAATCTAGAGTCGGCTAATAATTCAATAAGAATGAATGAAAATTTTCTACTCTTAATTAGAGATCTCAAATTCGAGCGTGAAAACGGCTTCCTCTTTAATGAGCTTTAGCAACCTCAATTTAATCAAACTAGTTGATACCCAATAGCGAAGGGTGATATGAACAAATAGTATACTTCGGTGTCACTACTGATTTTTTGACCCCCTTGCCCTGTAGGCAGAATTTCGAGTTTAAGAAGCGTTGCCCCTCGCTTATTCCATGGGCAGCACTTTTGACTTTTGACCTTAAAAGTTTGCCTACGAGACAAAGAAGGTTAAAAATTTAAGACCTCCCATTTTTAAAGTCATTAAATGTAATTTCTTGAATACCGGATGGTTAAACAAAAGAACACAACAATACAACTAGATTTTGGTAAACTGCATGGCCCTTTTGACAATGTGGGCTTATATTGACAGAGAATGATAGAATTGGTCCTGGAATTCAATGGTCCCAAACTCAAAAATTCTACGGTATAGCCACTTTTCGGACTGGTCAATCAAAAATAGCCAGCATTTACCAAGTCAATGAAAAATAGCCACCGTTTTGCTGCAATAGAGATCGGTCCAGCATAATATACTGGAGTTCGGTGCACTTGTGTATGGACTCCAGCATATTATGCTGGACCGGTATACTTTGCTGGCTCCAGTATAATATACTGGAGTATTTTTCGGGTTTTGAACAGTATTTTCGCTCAGATTTATCTTTACATAAAAAGTGGCTAAATTTCGATTACTTTTGAAATTGGGCTATTTTTGAATGACCAGTTATAAATATGGCTATTTTTAAAAATCTCCCTCTGTTTAATCTAAAGGCCCATTTTCAAGATAAGAAAAAGAAGATAAGGCATAAATACATTTAAAACAAACTACCACAACCTTTCGTTGCTCTATCTCACAAAAAGAAAAAATGAGACTTCAACTCCTTTTCCAACGCTCTAATCTTCCATTACTCATCCAACTCAAGCACAATTCACCCCTTAATAAACCACAAAATTTGCCATATGGGAAGAGAGAAATTCACCAGCTAGTTGCAGAAAAAAGAAGCTTAGTTAAACCAATAGCTCTACAAATTTTGCACAAATCCAAGAAAATTTCAAGAACTGAAATTTCTGAGTTTGAAGCTAGTTTAAATGAGAAAAGCTCAAAACTTTTGGTATTGGGAGCTGTATCTGTTGGGGTAATGTTGTTTTTAATGGGTTTTGATGATCAAAATAAGGCATTGGCTTTGGGTCCAGAAGGTCCATTAATGGAGGAATTCTGGGATAATATGAGGAGATATGCAATTTATGCATTGACAGTTAGTACTGGAGTTCTTTGGGCTGTTTTTGAACCCATTTATGAGCTGTTGAAGAACCCAATTTCTGCAATTTTAATATTGGTTATTATGGGAGGCAGTTTTTATATTGTGTCTCAAGTGGTATCAGCTATGGTTGGTATTACTGACTTTGCTTATGACTATAATTATTAGATTTGAGTTTACTTCTGTATAAAGAGGTATTTTCCTTGTTTATTCAATGCAAATTCTATACCTTTGTGCTTAAATTCAGTAAGTAATATATATTGCCTTCAAACTCAGAGTGTTGCATACTATATTGGTACAGTTCACTATTGATATGGTCAATATTTGTCTATGTGAATTTGCATTTCCTAGCACCACTTTGATTTTGGTTCTGTAATGCTTTCCTATTTGCTAAAATCATCTTTTCCCATCAACGGTGGCAAATCCACGAATTGTATCTAGGGTGTTCAAACTTGAAACAAAGTAAAAAAAAATTTCGATAAAGGGTGTTCAATATATATTATATACCTCTAAAATCCAATAGTTTACCTATATATACAGTGTAATTTTTCGATGAAAGATGATTAGTTGATCACCCTTAGGGCTATGTAACTTCACCCCCTGCCAATCAATGTTTAGAGGGATAGAAATTGATTTTATTTTGCAATTCTGTTTGAGAATGGGAGCCTTGGAGCAATAACAAAGTTGTCTCCGTCTAATCTAAAGGTTACGAGTCTGAGCTATGGAAGCAGCCACTAGTGCTTGCATTAGGGTAGGATATCTACATCACACCCCTAGGTGCAGCCTTTCCCCGAATCTTGCGAGAGTGCGGGATACTTTGTGTACCGTACTGCTCTTTTGCAATTCTCTTTGAAGTGAGCCTAAATAAACGACATTGAACTGTGATGATTCATATAGCCGATCTCAATTTACTTGGATTGACGTGTAATTGTGACCGTCAAAGAAATTCTAAATCAAAGTATAATGTACACATTCATATGATCACTTGACGCAAGAATAACTTGAATCTACATTGAGTTTGTTGTCAAATTACATGGAGCTCCTTAAAAGCTACTCTTTTGTTACATATTTGAGATTTACTTTTTTATTATTTTATCCCATATATACATAGACCATGTTCTTCTTACGTTACAAATTACACTGTTTGAGTAGATCAGACAGTAGTATATCCTTCAAATAATATGTTACGATAAGCTCTTTGAAAACTAGTTTAGATAAATGACTTAACACCACATCGAGTATTATACTGATTAAATTAAAATCCAACTTCTATCAAAATTCATAGCAAGAAAAATAGAAAATTTCACCAAATCAAAACTCAAATGTTGTTGAAGCACAATTTACTGAGAATTAGGAATTGACATTATTCACATTGATGACATAAACTAAATTACAAGAACTAAGATAAATACTAACACCATACACAAAGACTACTAAGTTATTCTTGGGCATTACACACCCACAGTCTAATCTTAGCCCAAGAGAAGATCCCAAAAGAAGCCATCTACATAAGATTAATAAGTAAATTTTACAAAGCAACACATCTAACATGCAATGGAAGA